GGCCAAAAAAAAAACAGTTTAGGGCCAACGCAAATCGGTCGACAGTAATACGCGTGCAGGACAGATTTGCCTGTCATAAATATGTCTAGTTGTGCGGTAAAAGGATGCAAAAATTACGATACAAAGATTTAAAAGGAACATGGGATATCATATCATCGGCTAATAACTTAATATTAATTTTGTTACAATTAAATGATTAGTTTAGTTTAGTTTTAGTTTAGTTTACGATGGGCTGTTTTCCGCAACTCCATGTCTAAGAGCGTATTTTGCGTGTGGACAGGAATAATGTGCTTATTCGAGCCATGATATCTCCCCGAAGAAGCTCAGATGTCCCTTGATGTTGCAAGCAACTTTGGGGAGTGATCCCGGCGTGCCGAGATGTTTAGCCCTGTATGATGCGACTTCTGGACATGTCAGAAACACGTGAGCCGCCGTTTCTTACTCTCCCATTCTAGCCCTGCACAGGGGGCTGTCAGTAACACCTATGGTGAACAAATGTTTGTTAAAAGAGTCATGTCCTGTGATAGCACTTGTTACTATCCTGATCTGTGGCTTGTTCAGTCTCATTAGAACCTTGGTTAGACGACTGTTTATTTCAGGTAGGACCTCCCTAGCTTGTCTACAGTCTACAAAATTTTTCCAAAGCTGAGCATGTAAATTATTGAAGTATCTACATACCAGTGAACGAACGTAGCCAAAGGGGCCGATCCCCTTCAATTATTATATAAACGCATTTTTAAAGTTTTATGATACAGTTAGTTTAGTTACCTTACCAATATTGGGCCAGGGTTGGATTCAGACCCTCAAAAATATTGCACATGCAAAATAAAATTATACTATTTTAAAAAAATTATATCATGTTTGATGTTTCATGTTTATTTTTCCCATGTGCTGGGATTTTGGCGTCATGCGTCTTAGTTTGTCTATACGTTTCGTTTTTTGATGGTTTTATTTTTATTTTTGTCTAACGAACTTAGTGTAATTTTTATTAAAATTAAAGTTAAATTTTGAATATATGTACTAATATATTTTATGTTCAATAAGTGTAAAACGAAAAGATTACAAAAGAAACCATATCTGCTTAATTAAATCTAAAAATCTGATTCATAAAATATTTTGAAATTTTGTTTTCAATCTTGATTCCTTCTGGAACATAGAGTTTTTATCGAGGTAGCCCCTTATTATAGTTGTATCAAGGATGCAACATAAATGCATCGATCGAGCACCGATTCACCAGAAATGGAGTTAATTCTAATTTTATTTTTTTTAAAAACACGATACTCATGTACAATACTGACATTCTCAATATAGGGTTAATGTTAAAAAGTAAAAGCACCCAATAATGATACAAGTCGACCTCTAGGTAATATTATGGTATTTTCGCTTAGTATTATTACGGTATTATATACTACACACTATGAAATAATGGTACAATTAGATTAATTATACTACGAAATCCGACCCTGGTCGTGTTATGACATAACGTTTATATTATGACAGATGCGCTACTTTTTCTTGTATGAAAAAGTTACGATTAATAGATGGGCCTATCCTTCCTTTTGAAATCATTGACTTTCAAAGTTTGTTATGTTTACTTCTGATGACAGTAGTAAATCATTTTCGCTATTTATCTAATGGATCGAATTATTTTCAGAAATACATCTTACCAAGAGGTGAATCGGGAAACAAAAGCTGGCACAATTCCGATAATTCTTGAGACATTTTTGTTACCAAACAGTACAATGTAGTATAGGGGTAACAGTCTGAGGGTAACAGTTTATTGTTCTCTGTTCTGTGTTGTTTAAGTGATTCTGTAAACTCAATACAAGCACAACAACTAAAAGCTAATCAGTAACGTAGTGAACCTCTTCTAACAAATCCTGTACATACAAATACAACTTTGTAATTTGCACATACTACTAAGAGGATACGTTACGTTAGGATACGTTAATTTGTCATTGTCATACTCATACAATCAAACGTAAACAACAGCAATTTTTTTTATTAATTGGCTTTACAGCTCTGGGTTCTAGCTCTTCTGAGCCTATTATTTCTTTCGGAAACTATATTTTTATATTATTTTCTTCACAATATGTTGATGCGTCACATTGTGAAGCCATTGGGAGATTTTGCAGACAACTTAACCCAGTGGACAGTTGATGACGAAAGCCACTCAAGTTCATGAGGCGCTCAAGCGATCAAAATAACTTGAAGTTTATATCGACATCAAAGCACTTGTTTCGTCGTTTTCTCTAATAGATCACACGCGTGGACACTTAATTCACAAAATGTCAACACTTTTACGAATCAAAATCCAACATCAAAACAATAGCGACAATCCGTCTACGGCCAAGATCCCGCCAAAACTCCTAAACAAATAAACAATAGTAACAACAAGCCTAAGCCATGGAGGTTAGTAATTTGATTTGACATGATTTGACACGTAAATCACGTATTGATTATATACTCCAGGATCATTATAAACTCTTTGCTTTCCATGCAGATCGTAGACAGAGAAACCTAGACTAATGATTAGCGTGGCCTCGAGTGAGAAAGGACTATGACGTAGACCGTAAGCAGAGAAACCTATAGACTAATGATTAGCGTGGCCTCGAGTTAGAAAGGACGATAACGTAGTTTTAGGTTATACAATAATCTTTATGACTTTTAAACATATTTAGATAAAAATTGTAATTGTTCTAAGAACTGAACTGCGTTAAGTTATACAATAACGTTTATGACTTTTAAACAAATTTAGATAAAATTTAAACGTATATTTATATAGTTCTGGAACGAAATTTAAAATGAGAATTGAATTTTATCGTAATACCACATAAAATGTACTGTACTTACGAGTGAAATGATATACCGGTGAGTTTACGTTCACTAAATGTATGTATTTTTGTATTTTTAAATAAATATAACTTATTGTACAAAATAAATATATTAACGAAAATTTATTTCTTATCAACTAAATCAGTTTCTGATGAATAATAATCATGACATAAAGACGTGTAGTGGATTTTGTCAAATGAATTCAATTTACTTCAATCTCAACACGAGTCTCAACATTATATGTTAATGGAATCGATAACCAGTATTTATCAAAACATTGAACAAAATAAAAACCAAATAAATAGAATCGATACTTGCCATTTCGTAGCAAATGTATGCAATTTTATAAAATAAACTGGTATCACTGCAGCCAAAAGTACTGCACTGTCGTAGACAGAGAAACCTATAGACAAATTGACGCCTTCTTTCGCATTCGCACACGAAAAAGATAGATTTATGCATACGTCTTGCATAGAAATAAGATAGAGCGGTGTGATTGTTTGTCCCTTTCTCCGTGCCGGTTTTTTTGTTTAGCAAACTCTACAGTTTGCTAAACAACTTTAACAGCGTAGCGATTTAAGGAGTTTACAAGTTGGTTTAGGTGAGAAAAAAGTGTTTTGTGAGCTTAAGATTGGTGAATGTTGGTCAGTTCAGTTCTTACAACAGTTAAAATTTTTATCTAAATGTGTTTAAAAGTCATAAAGATTATTGTATAACCTAAAAATTCGTTATCGTCCTTTCTCACTCGAGGCCACGCCGATCAGTCTATAGGTTTCTCTGTCTACGTGCACTGTAGTAATGTACGCCATAAATTCAGCTATCGATAAGTTAATTAACCATTCGAGTTTGTCTGCCGAACAGGTTTTTATTTTTTGTTTAGATTTTGCAATATAGTATTACAAAAAGCAGTAAATTAATATATAATTGGTTTGATTGTATATATTCCAGGAGATCCTCCAACCACAACATAACCGCAAACTTTAAAACCGAAAAAATTAAAGGTAGTAGGTTTATTCATGATTATTTATATAGGTGCTATTCTTTATGCTTAACTAGGTTTAGGACTAGCAGAAAAGTTTCTTAAGTTAGAACTTAAGTTTCCAGTAGTATTTTTTACTTTAGGATATTTGTTGACAATATTTCTTAAAAGCAAGGTACACTGAATTGCCTTTTTTATCAAAGTAAAACCGTATTTCATTCGCCTTACGCAACATTTTGATAGTTTTATTTACAAAAATTATATAAAGAGTCCAAATCAACTTAAAGTATACCATACTATATTTTCACTGTACATAATTGTCTAAATTAAAACTAAAATACCAAATGCATAAAAATATTGCAAATAAATCAAAATAAATGCACGATCGCAACGTCAAAAAATTAATAATTTTTTATATAATATCTTAGAGGCCGGCACGCGCCACCAATGTCAAGTGCGTAATTTTTTCCATTTTGAAAATTCGAATTCAAAACTTTCCATCCAAAACATAAACAAAAGGTTGCCACAACTAAATATAATATTGTCATACAAATCTAAGCCTTTAACTAATGAATTAAAGACCATTTAAAATTCAATAGCAAAGCAATTTCAATAATTTAAAATTCAACCTTCGGCTTAATATATTTCGCGATATGCACCGTTGTGTGATAACTACCAAAACAACACAACAAAATTCATATTCGCTTCATCGCTTTCTATACTTATTTATGGTAAAGTTGCAAGTACGAGATGCAACGAATATCAACGAAGGACATGGGTTTGTTTGTGGGCCCTGTTGGCAAATCTTTTCACAGTTTGCTTGCGTTATGCGTTTGGTTTTCGTACATTGATTAGGTAGTTCGTTTTGGTTGGATGTGTAATAACAAGTGATCGGAGTAGGTAGATTGAAATGAGGTCAATGATCCGAAAGGTTCATATTAATATTGACATTCCCCCGAAATCCCGGACTATGTTAATTTTTTAAACCCGAACTTAAATTATGAAATGTATAATGTAAAAAATGACTATAATGCTATAGATACTTAAATATATAAATAATTAGGTATTTTTTATATAGGTATGTAAATATCGTGTTTTTTATTTGAAAATAATTCAAAGGGAACCGTGCACATCTGCCGAGGGCATCCTATTATCTATTCTAAGAAAATATCCTTTGTTCTAAATAATGAAACTATGGCCCACTAATCCTCTCCGCTCTCCACTGTCGTGCCACGTGTCCTGCACAGTGTGCGAGCGAGATATTGCAACACTAGTTTACTTATCGTTACTTGACTCTGGCTTGTATACTGACTTCTGGAATTCGCTCAATCGACAACTTGGCTTTGATATACGATCTTGGGTACATCACTCTAGGATTGAAATTTTATCACCAGTGCTGGTAAGCAACTATTTTATTTTCTTTTTTTGGATACAAATATTTTTAGCATTCTATTCGAGTGCTTATGCTGTTTCGAGTTTATGTGCTTATGCTTATTTATACCATAAGTTCTTAAATTCAAAAGTTTTTAGTGGTGTATGAAAAGCACTGAGCTATGTGCAATTTTTGTTGAAAACTGATTATTTTACTGTTAGTTTTGATATAATTTTCTCCCAATATTTTATTGAAACTTTGGTTTTACAACTATAGCTGTGGTTCAAATATTCAAATTAAAGTAAAACACGGGTCATTTAATATACGATATGCTCAGCCATACAAGAATGTGACGATATCAGATTTAGCAAATTTAACCGTAACCACATCTCGCACACTCCATACATCGCTTGCGTTGAGCGTACAACATTCTCAAGTTTAGTAGTTTCCATAGATGGCGTTGATTTGTACAACCCAACTCGTGCGCTCAAACGCACACAAAATAATAGTTAAATTTTTGTGTTTAGTTTTAGTGTTAACATTTAAGTAACATAAGACCATAGTAAGAAACATGTAGTTTTGAATTTAAAATGCATGATTTGTTTAAGATTTCCTCATTCAAAAAATAACCAATTCTGTTTTAAATTAGTTTTATAACTCGGAAATGGATACACACCTAGGTAGTTATCAAAATAAAAATAGATAACCTACAATAAATACACAATTAATAAATTCAAAAGTTTCATATCATACATATATTTTCAATACAATTTGAAAACGTTACAAATTTAGTTGCCTTAATCCTATAATGAATAAAAAACATATTAATAAGTTTAAGTAACTGTCTAAAATTATAAATTTTTAAACAAAACTAAGTCAATGTCAGGCTAACACAACCGAGCGTAGGAGGTGGGAGTGAGGTAGCTTATTTAGGTGTGGTGCAGAGTGTGGCCGTTCTGAACGTAATACTATTAGGTTTATGTGCCATAACAAGCAAATCAATAACTCTTTTTCAATCAAATCACAATACATAAAACTATAGAACCACTAAGTATTTAGCAGTTTTGTAAAATTAATGTCATCAAATCTAATTTTTTAGGTGAGATACGAAGCTCCATCTGTTCAACAGAGCGTAGACATGGCAAACGTCAAGGCTGAAACTTCAGAAAAATGGATAGCATCCTGAACTACTTTACGATTATGCTAGTGGTACAATATATTGAACATTTTGAGAGTCATTTGCAAACTATAAACAAAGGCCAAACTATAAACAAAGGCAATGTTAGAAGACATATTAAAGGCGCAGTACACCAAGAAAGGTTTAAGCAGCCGCAAGAGGAGTTTTATTTTGTCCTTGTAAAATTTTTGATTTTGTGCAATATTCCTTGGTCAAAGATGGAAAACACTTCCTTTCGAGAATTCTTCAGAAATATATGTGTGGTACCTGTTGTGCTTGTACTAATCATAAGCTGCCCGATGAATCGCAGTTACAGAAAGTTTTTTTGGACAAGTTGTTTAAGGAAAAAATCACAACTATTCAACAAAATAATGTAAACGAAAAGCTTTGATTATCACTAGATGAAACGACCAACTTTTAGGTCGATATATAGTACATTTTTAATAAAACCATTGCATCCCAGCAATTTGAGCAAACCTCATTTAGTAATCTGTAAAATGCTAACTGTTTTTAACAAATAATAACTCAATTTGTGCTAGAATGCTTAGAAAATTTTAGGGGAGATTCATTTAAATTCAAAATGAACAATGTTCTTATGCTCTGTACTAATAGCATAGCATTCATGCTATTTACAGAAGGAAATCTAAAAAAAAATTACCTAATATGAAACATGTGACATCTTTGGAGAATTCTCTGCATCGTGTGTCTGAGCAAATTAGGTTGGAATATATTGATGTGGATATTTTAACTTCAAATGTCAAAAAAGTATTTTTAAAAGCCACAGCAAGAGTTACCTCCCCAACCAATAATTACAAGATGGACCAATTAGTTGGAGGCGACGGCTTACTTTGCTCAGCACTTTGATAAAGTTCAAGATATAATATCCTGTTTAAGCAGTTCTGATGCTGTGTCCATTAGAAATTCAAAAAATATTTTAGAAAAAGAAAATTTAATAAATGATTTTAATTATATAGAAGATACCTACCTATACCGTACCTATACCCTACCGATACCTATACGAGGGCGGCACTGAAAATTTCGGGAATCACAGAAGTGATACAACATTACTATTTAAAAATGTATTTATTGCTTTTCGAAGTATTCTCCGCGAAATTTGACACATTTTTCCATACGATGGAACCAATCATTGAAGCAACAATTCCATTCGGAAGTTGGGGTCTCCAAAATGGCCGTTTTGTAGGCGTCCACAGCTTCTTCAGTTGATGAAAATCTCTGTCCACGCAATTTATTCTTTATTTTAGGGAAAGTATGGAAATCATTAGGGCTTAGGTCGGGGCTGTACGGCGGATGGTCTAATATTCCTATGTTTTCTTGCTCTAAAAACTCTTTTGTTCTGTGTGCGGTGTGAGAACTCGCATTGTCGTGATGGAGGATGATGCGGCGGTTGCAGTTGTCTTTACGGAGTTCAGAAACGACCTGTGGCAAACAAATGCTAGCATACCATTCTGCATTAACCGTTCTTTGTCCCTCAAGAGCAATAGTCGTAACATGGCCGGTTTTGGAGACAAACGTGGCCACCATTTTTTTGCAACACTCCGTGAACGAACAATTTTTGTTGGCTTTAACTAATTTTCGAACATCCAAACTCGTTACTGGTTTTTTGTTTCGGGTTCGTACACGTATATCCAGGATTCGTCACCTGATATGATGTTGTATACAGCATTTGAGGATCCTGCGTGGAATCTTTCGAAAGTTCTGACCCACCAAGTAACGCGAGCCGCTTATTGCTCTTCACAGAGCGAATGCGGTATCCATCGGGAAAACAACTTTTTTACACCTAATTGTTCATGCAATATTATTTGTATTTGACTCATGCCAATGTCTAAAGTTGCCTGAATTTCGCGGTATGTCACATGTCGATCTTCCTCAATCAGCTTACGCACAGCATCAACGTTTTCTTGGGTGACTGCAGTTTTTGGACGAACTTGACGAGGATCATCACTGAGCTTGACACGTCCACGTTGAAATTCAGCAAACCAGCGATAAATTGTGGTTTTGGATGGGACTTCATCAGCAAATGCAGAAATCATCCGGTCAACACGCTGTTTTTGTGTTAAACCACTTCGAAAGTCATAATAAATCATCGCTCTTGAATTTTCTCGAGTCAATTCCATTTTCTCAACGATTAAACAAGTTTGACAAAACCTTGTGACAAGACCGAGAATCTTTTTTTAAATAAATAAATGGTATTCGATTTTTAAAACCAAGGAGTTTTCAATTAATAAGATTTTAATATGTCAGGAACAGTGGAAATATTCCATTCCCGATACTTTTTGTGCAGCCTAGTACCGTGATGCAATCTTCTTTGAAAGAATTACAAAAACATAATTTATTTTTGGTTGATTCTCTTTTAGCCTTTGATGAGGTCAGAGCTGCTATAAATGAGTGCAATTCCCAAACAATTAAAAATAAAATAGAATCTGTCGTGGAACGAAACCCTGATTTATATACAATTATAGAAAATAGCGAAAGCATTGAAAAAAAAATGAGGCTAGTAACTTAACACCTTTCATTAAATTTGCTCCTTTGACGTTCTCTGATGTGGAAAATTCATTTTCAATATATAAATGGCTGGTGGATGTAAAAAGGAACAGATTGAAAATAGAAAAACTAGTAGTAATTTACTTTAATTTTGTAAAAAAAATAGTGGATATTGAAAGAGTAACGGAGTGTGATTAAAATATTAATATAAAAATTGTTAATTTTTAATTAATTAAGACGTTAATTTTTATCTATATTGTTTTTAATTTACCTTTACTGTCAAGGAATAATATAAAAACATGTATATGTTACGACAAGTATCTATCTGCAGTGACAGCAATTTTTAACCCATCAGAGGCTTAGTGACTACCTGTGATTGGCTGCACCTGGTTCTTTCCAACTAAAACTAGGTTTAACTGCGTTTTCACTTAATAGAAAATAAAAATTTAGATAAAATTGATGGAATTATTGAAATCTCGGAATCGGCTCCAACGATTTTTATAAAATGTAGTGTCCAGGGAGTTTCGGGGGCAATAAATCGATCTAGCTAGGATTTATTTTTAGAAAATGTCCTTTTGTCCGTGTTTTCAGGCAATAAAAAAAACTGCTACAATATAAGAAGGTAAATTTCGACAGATCACTAACGATCCTTATAGCTCAGGTGGGATGTCTGTGGGGAGTTATTTCGGTGTTCCGTGGTTCGGGTCCTGTCTCTGGTCTAGCTTTTTTCCTTTTTTTTTTGAAGTTCCCTTCTTTTGTGAGAAAATCTATGATATCACTCCCTTTTTTTAGTAATTTTTAAAAATACGAAAAATTTAACAAAACTAATTGCACTCATGATTTTTATTCAAATAATCAGTTCAGTTTCTTCTATTCTGTCAATAAGATCAAAAAATATTATTTAAGTTTCATCAGTACATAATTTATAAATGTAATTTCAAAAAAAAAAAAACCGAGCAAAGCTCGGTCATCCGGGTACTTATAGTAAACTACCAACATAAACCATCTTTGATTGAGCCCCGAAATACCGGAATGACTTTTCTGAATTATGGCTTATCCACGTTGATCTATGAACATTTATGATGCAAGTAGCAAAATCAATCTACCTACACCGATCACTGGCTAATAACGGTTGTGTACTTAGGCTTATCGATATGATATGATATTTTGATAACATAACGTTATTAGTTATGTTTTGAAGTGCTAAGTGTAATATTACACCACCCTGAGTCAGGGGAGATGAAGGGTTGGCGTGGCCCCTAGAGTTGTTACACTACCCTGATTTTACCCCCTTACTCAGTCATAGGGATGCACAAGTGAAAAAGGTATATATATTTATTGAATCGATATTTTTAAAGTAATTGTAACAAATCATTTACTGTTTTTCGTCCTGCTAACTCTAGTTGCGTAGGTAACTCGAGTGTAGTTCGAGTTGTGTGAAATTGAACTTGAGTTAACTCGAGTCTTAATTTTTCCAATAAGCACATCTATAGGACGCAACATCGGTCATTAAAAACATCAAAGCTTATGTACGATATTTCGATGTTTTCTATGTTTTTATCATTATTTAAATATATAGATACATAAGGAATAAATAATCATTTTTAACAGAAATGAAACATAGAACTATAATAATCAAACATTTTATTTATGTTATTTTAGGAAGCCTATAGCTTGCAACATCGTTCTTAAAAATGTCGATAGTCCCACGACAAACATCGATGCACAAACTAATAAGAAGTACTAGCGTAGACATAAAGCTACAGCTAGGAATATATAAAATACCACCTGTGCATCGATGTTAGAAAACATGGGCAATAACACAGTACTCCGATGTTTTTCTTATGTTTTAAGTATCTAATCTATCACAAAAATTGTTACCTGTAACTCTGACGTACATATCTAAATAATAAAATGTACTATAAATAAAATGTACCATACTTAATATAGGTTCCACATACAGATTTGATTTCTTCGATATATCGCTTGCAACCCTAATATTTATTATCTTTGAATATTTGGGAAGTGCGAAGGAATGGACGATATTACATTTTCTTTAAACAAATATCGAAGAATCGTGATAAAATAGCTTCTAAACGAAAGGAAACCATTATCAAGATTAATTTTTAATATAAAGTGAGTAATCAGTAGATTCTTTTGATTACTTTGTTAATACCCTATGTTTTCATCCATGTTAAACTAGTGTTATCTTTTATGATTGCGTCATTATAATTTGTAATTATAAAAGGAATTCTCGGATTTAGTTGCTATTTTAGTGTAATGATATGTAAAATAATTGCTTATCATGCGAACTTACTGTTCATGGATGTAATTTAACATTCCGATTTGACACTTCTAACCTATGCAATTTCGATTCTCGACACCATTTTTGTAATGCCTTTCTGTGTATAATGTAAGACAATGGGCAAAATGAATGATTGGGACAATGCAAAAGACCTTATAACATAACAAAAGTGCTTATATATTGATAAATAATAAATAAGCTTGATAAGGTTATGTTTATGTTTTGATTCATTATGTTGGGTGTATAAAAATCTGATAATCAGTTGACAAGTTGCATGAAATCCTATTACCGGTAGTTTTTTACTTACCAATGAATTTGTTTGGTTTTAGTTTTAATTATTTTTTTTATTTTTTTGTTTTTGTTGGAATACTGTTATTATTAATAAATTTTAATGCTATTTTCAGTTAATCATTTACACAAAAATATATATTCAACACCATGGAGTGCAAGCATGAAAATACAGTGGAATAATTTGTAATTTTTTTATTCGTAACCAAAATGATATTACAATGGGTATATACAAATTATGTGGTCATGTAACATAAAATATATTTTTGTATATTGAAGCTAAAGTTATTACAATTTATGAATGTAAAGTAATTAGAGCATAATGGAAACAGCAGGCGAGGATTTTAATCTCCATTGGGAGGAAGTTGTAATTAAGGTAATTGAAAATATTATTTAATCATAATCATAATAATATTTAGAGATGGGCTGAATATTTGTTTCATATTCAGTATTCGGCAGCTTTACTCTGACTGACTTCTAATTGTTAAAAAGAAGTTATACATAGTAATACCACCCTTAAGGGTGGTATTTTTTTCTCAAAATATATATGGGTCAAAATATTTAACAAAATAAGGATAATTAAAATTAGTTTTTTATTTGTAGTTATCATATGAAATTCGTTAAACAATAGTCCAATATGAAATGGGTGGATTTTTTTTTTTCAAAATTTAATGGGACCACCCTTGAGGGAAAGCCTTTTCAATAAAAAAAGAATTATTAATATTGGTTCAATCTCTAATTGAGAACCTCCCCCTTTTTGAAGTCGGTTAAAAGGGATATATGTTTATCTTTGCTTGACCTTATGGTTGACTGAGGAGTGCCCCTTACCATTATGGTTGCCATATGTGCATTAAAGTATAAAAAATATATAAAAACTCATTAAAAACAAACCTTTTTTCAGAACTCTCCTAAACATGAAAACGAAACAATTTGCGGCTTGGAAGGTGAACAATCTGAATCTTACTCAACTATGGTTTGTAAATAGTATATATTTTCTGTTTTGTAAATATTTGTTTGAAGGCATACATATTAACATTATTACATAATTATTAATCTAGGCTGTGTACAGTGCACACTCTTGATTGAGAGATAAAGAACTCAAAATTTATAGACTAGTGATAGTAAGTGCAGCATTACCAGTTAAAAGATATTGGATAGATATGTGCCAACCTGTATCACCAGGTAGGAGAGCCGTGGTAGCTCAGAGGTTTGGCGCTCACTATAAATTTCACAGTATGTGAGCATTACTGCTACCTGCCTGCACCAATCAAATTGTTAATTGAAATTTTAAGTACAGATTTACGACATGCTCAGCAGTAAAGGCAATCATCGTGACGAAACCTGTATATCTGAAAAATAAGAACACAATAATATTTTGAAGACTTAAACTTATAACTTACTATAGAAATATTTCAAAGACATGTGAAGTTCGCCAACACGCATTGGGGCAGTGCGGCAGACATTCCCTTGCCCTAAAACCCTCTCAGAAGTGAGAGGAGGCCTGTGCCTAACAGTGGGACGTATAATAAGAGTGTATCACTTCTATGTAAATCTTCCAAAATTGCTTACCAATCTAGTACGGCCTTGAAAAGCAGAATTCAGAATTCATATTCGGAAATAGCATATTGTTTGATTTAATGATTTTTCCATATGATGGAGCAATTATTGTCATAAATTGGTTGCATCTTGTTTTATCTTTTCAAAATTTAACTTTAAAGTAGTTCTGTATTTTCTTTGCATAAGAGTTTTTTTTTAAAGTAAATAACCACTCCTGCATTTTTCACTAATCAGGTGTCTAATCATCTGTGCATCCTCTGTAGAGTTTTAGGTTGGAAGGGTATAGAGAGCCAGTATAATTATAATCTGTTACAGGGGTTGACTGTTACAGGGGTGATTGAACTGATTATGTCTTGAGGTCTTGCAGTGGTATGCTTGGGTTTAGTTTTAATTTTATTGATTATAGGGTCCCAAGCAGGTGATTGTACCCAGCCTCCTTCTCTATTGAAATTAGGATGTTTTTTAATTTCAAAAGCCTCACGTATCATCCTTGGTAGGAATCGGTGTTCCTTCGCGAGGATTTGTGGTCTATCAAATCTGATGTAATGGTTGGGGCCATCTAGGATATGATCACAAACTGCAGACTTCCCGGAATGTTGATGCTTCACATCAGCTATATGTTTTAATCAATAGTCTATATGTTATTGCCATGCAATTTAAATTTGGATGGAATTGAATTGTCATTAGTTCTACAACTGTGTTTTGTTGGATTGTGTATTTGAATCGTTGGCAGCTAATATTTGCTACAGACAATTTATGTTTTCTTGATACTATGTATTGCAGAATCTACATCTAATGCCACAGACAGAACATGCAAAAATTCTTACATAATAGAGCAGATATTACTTTAATTAAGATTTTTATTGTGTAAAGTAATTGTAATTAAAGGAATAAAAAAATTTTAGGCATCAGAAGAAATCATAGCTGACACAGATCAGATGGCTGCAGAAAATTTGATGTATTTTTCACAAGATGTAGTTGGATATTCAGAAACAACTGAGTTGGCAGATGATTTAAATGTTGAATGTGTAACTGAAGAGGTTATTACTGATGATTGGGTTATAGCCGGAGGACAGGAAAGGTATAAAATCTATTAGTCAAATTGTACTATTTATAATTAGAACCTTAAAATTTCCAATAAATTTTAATTTTATAACTTCTATACTAAATTTATTCTTACTTTTATATTGATTTGCAAAGATTATAAGCCTTTGCCTACAATCCTACCTAGTGGTAAATTGTTTAGATGTGGTAGGGTATATGGTACATCACACTGTCTTAGCATAAAGCTTATTCACTTTTGCCTTGAGGACACCCAGATTTTTATTGTACAGAAAGAACGAACAAATTATTCCACTCCTTTGCTGTATGTATTACAAAAGATTATGCAAACCATTTGGTTTCATTGTATGGAATAATGACAACAAAAAGGTTAGTCTTCTTGTTTGCCTGGTTGTCCAATGGAAAGGCAAGGATGTTAAGGTGTGTGATTCTTGGACTTTCTCTCCATAATGCATCCTATAGGATACCAAATGAAACCAGATTAAAAATTTTATGCAATAACTTTCAGTACAACTAATTGAGCTGTCATTGTTAAAATTAATTATTATTTGATTTTAAATAATGCAGTCAAAATTAATGTCTTTTTTAAAGACATCAATTATCAATATTTTTGCTTTTTCTACCACTTTTGCCCAATCATCGTTTGTGACATGGGTGCATGCTTCAACGAATATAGAAGAAACAATCCAAAAAGTTAAAACCGAGTCACAAAATAAGAAGACAAACACAAAATCCCAAAATTACGCACAGTAAGCTCCCGAAGTGGCGGGAGATTGAAATTATGTAGTGGTTTTTTCAGCGCGGCCTTGTATATGAGTTTTTTTGCATACGCAAATTTACGTTGACAAAGTAAAAAAAAATAACTTGTTTTATTCATGATTCATGTAATTTAAGGAAATTTATAAATAAAAATTTAATTAAACAAATAATGCATAAAAACATTAATGGTTCAATTATTTGAATAGTTTTACCGATTGTTTGAATATTTTTGTCGATTATTCGCATAACAATGAATTTTAATCATCTAAACACTACGGTAAGGTACATAGCATATCATTGAAATGACGTCATGTAAAAAAGTTCATACTGGTTATTTTTTAAATATTTAGCTTCGTTTGAAAGATTCGAATTTAAATTAGTGATAAAAAACTATACATGTTTGTAATGAAATATAGATAACTTCATAATTCTTCGGATTTACGTAAAAGGTTATTTTGAATTGTGTGAGTACGCTTGTGCAAAGTTATTGCGAAATGATTAATGTGAAATGTCAAAAGGTATTTCTTAGATTTGGTTGACTATAGGTCGTCACTCCATCTAGTGAGGGCTCGCCCTACACTTCGCCTACTGGTACAAGGCTGCCACTCGAGAACTTGTTTATTTACATTTTATTCATTTTCCAAAGGTAAAAACCAGATTATTTGGATGTGGCGTAATAAATTAAATAATGTTTTTAAATTTCAGAGTGGAAGTACCCTTGGAACAGCTTGCTAATACTGTGCCAGACATTAAAGTTGAAAATGATATTGATGTACCATTACCAACTGATCAAGTAAGTGCAATATAAGAACAGTTTGTTTATTTAATGACTAATGTTATATTTGATATTCTCCAAATTCTTTTGCATAGAAAAAGATAGGATACTGAACTTAGTTATATGAGCTGAGCCTACCCCATAGATAGTCGGTTCAAGGTTGTTACTTGAATAATTTCCTTCTTCCCTATTGTTTGTTAATTATTAGAGGTATAAAGTCAGCCCATTGTCACTTCAGCTTACTGATCCACTGAACTATGTCAGTTGCCATTGTTATTCTGTGGTTATTCTCGTTATTATTGAGGTTTTTATCATACAGAGAAGCTGAACATATTACTTACTTTTGAGATAAGTATGTAGTTCTGATGAAAAGATTTGTTTCAGTTTCCCTCTGTCACCTTTTAGGACACCCATGGAATGATTTGGGGTAGTGGATATTCTTACACCGCCACTACACGGCGGTTCGTTTATTAATGAATCATAAAATCTCTTTAATGTAGCAATGTTTTTATACCAGGACCAGTACACAGCGATGCGTCCTTGGCCGTGCGACTTCTGCTCGCGGCGGTTCCGCAAAAAAGCGGCGCTGATGAACCACATGGTGGCGCACCAGAACGACCGGCCGCACGCCTGCAACTTGTGCGGCGTGCGCTACGTGCGCAAGTGCGACCTCATGAACCACCTGAAGGTCCACGCCTTCGTGCCCGAGCATAGCGACACCATCGACTATGGTAAGACTATTGTGGATCGCATTTTGAACGAACCGGAAGCGACGCCAATTTTTTTGCTGCATCGTGTGTGTGCCACACATTCTAGTAAGCGCTTAGCATTAAATCTTCAGATTGTATGCAACCTAAACAAAATCCTTCATCAATTACGAAACTGTGTCACACCCCTACCAGCACCATATGATGCATCTGCACACTCTTAGTGATTGTTCACTAAGATAAAAATCATTTTGGCCGATTTAACCACGGTTGTAATTATTCTTGGGAGTTGATAACGTAAAATAACTATACAGGTTATTTTTCAAAGAGTAGCCTAATTTTAAACTTAAGTTTAAATATGGAAATAATGGTATACTGTTATTGCAGTTTTTGAAAATACGTATAAATAAGGCTTTAACTTTGTTTAAATTTGAAATTATCCCAAATTGAATCTGATTTGTGGGCAACAACAATTTTGCCTACTCAAACGACTCTTACTAATGTTTGCGTGCGCAGTAAAATCTGTTAAAATAATGCATTACCACACAAATAAAAAGAACAGAATGGTTGAAATTGTTTTTAATTAATTTTTTCTATCTGTTTACTTATTCTGAACCTTCTCTGCATAGTTATTGCAAAATATGCTTCGGTCAGTTATTGCACAATAACCTGTATAATATAATATAATAAGACTTCTAAATATTTCTAAATTAGTAATGTTTTCATTTTTAGAAACAAATCTCTTTAGCACTATTAAACATACAATTATAATTACAAAAAGCTAATGGTAAACTTAAAATTTACTTGTGGTCAGACAGTGTGTTTCAGTTTCGCGCGGTGCGTCGTAGAGAGCGTACGTACCTTCGTTAATAGTGGTTGCAATGGAGAGTTCAACGACCTCTAAGATATTAAAGTGGTTGAATTGTAATTTAGTTATAAACAAGGTTCTGGCGTTTATACAGACCAAGTGTGATGTGATGGACGAATATTCAATGATCAGACTGTGTATTTCGACATTTAAACCGGAAGACTTAGTTCAGCTAAAAATCTCCTGTTTACATCAGTTAAGGCATCGGGAAGACATATTAAACGCAAAAGGGAAGGTAAAACCCAACGAGACCTAGAGAGCATGATAGCTCTGATAAAACAGAAAGAGATAAAGAAGAATTGCCAATTTTTGTTAAAAAATACCTCCGGTCACTTATGACCATATAGACATTACAAGACTGCTGAAGGACATTGTTATCCTCTAACGTGAGGTTGAAACTATCAGTGAGATGTATATACACCTATAGACCAGCTTTCAAAATAAAAAAATTAAGTCATCAACCCTACAACAAACATCATCAACCAACAATCAGATCAGTCAACAATCTCCAACAGGATAACTTTGTTGATACAAAGCAAGGTACAAAACACGTATTGAATGGCTCCGAATATAACTGATAGCGGTACTGCAGGATTCTTACACTTTACTCATGAAACGGTAAATTAATACAATAACAATTCGACCGTTACTGACAAAGCGGTAGGAGGACGTACTTCGTAAGCGCATCACTCACCGTCACTGTCGCATTCGCGATGTCCGCAGGCAATCTATCTGTTGCACCGAGCCCGGCTAGCATGCGCGTGGAGGAGCCCACAATGGTTTCAGCTGTCGAAACCGTGATACAAATGCATGGCGCCTCAGCAACAGCGGTGATTAATACCTCTGTAGGTGTCAGTGCAGTGAACGATCATCTGATACGATTGCCGGAATTGCAAAGCACTTTGAATAGGCGGGATGAAGAATGGCAAATTGTACAAAGAAAAAAGCGTCAAAACAGATGTTTATGTAGAAAAGGAACTTGCACTGTTATTGAAAGTAGTTTTAAGGCTGTGAATATCAGTGTTCCTATCTTCATAAATAATGTGCACTAAGAAACGTGAAGAAGTCATAGTATCCTACATAAAAAGTAAAACGAATGTGGAAATGACCCTTCATAAGATCAAACCAAAGCAAGATAAAGACAGAACATACAGGGAGAACACAACTCATAAAATATATGTACCTAAACATAATTTAAGTTTGTTCTTGGACTGTAACTTGTAGCTCAAGGGTATAACATTCGGTCCTTTTATTGAATTTAGCAAGAGACATTCAAACAGACAAGAGAAATCTGTTACTGGCGCAAAAATAATGAACTTAAACAGATAATACGACTAACAATATTAGTTTAAAATTAATTAGTTTTTATTGTAAGTCTTTCAAAAGATCCATTGAAGCTGTAGAAGTGCTTTGTCAAAGTGCCGATATTATTGCACTGCAAGAAACTTGGCTCCTGCCTCATGAGATACCGAAACTTGGTAAAACAAGCAACGACTGGGTTTTGCAGTAAATCAGCTGTGTACATGTCTAGTGGGATACTGCGTGAGCGACCGTATGGCGGCGTAGCACTGTTATGGAGAAACAGTAAGTAAGTGTGTGTCTGTGATTCCGACTGAAAGTAATCGAATTAGTGCGATTAAGGTGTGTGTGTCGGATCAGCTAGTACTTATTGTCACTGTTTATATGCCTACAGAGTCATCTGACAATCTCTTAGAATATGTTCAATGTTTAAGTGAAATTGCATCTATAGTTGAGAGTTGCAATATCGAAACTGTATTTATTTTGGGAGATTTTAACGCTCACCCTGGGTAATTGTTTGGCAATGAACTTCTAGACTTTTGTATGTGTGATATTCGTATATTCAAATGTTAGGTATAAATTCCAATACACACACTGTTGTTAGTGAAGCGCATGGCAGCCATAGATGGCTGATCACTGTTTTGTTACTGAGGCTGCACTAAGCAAAATGCTATCAGTAAAAGTACATTATGGTGTTTACTGGTCTGATCACTTCCCGCTAGAAATTTAGTGCAACATAAAATCAGTTAGACTATTGAGCTAATAGTCTAACTATTTTATTAATAAAATAAAGTAAGGTTCTATCTTATCACACTTGGCCGCGATAGACTCGCTTTACAGTGATATTGTAACAGTGTTGCTGGAGGCTGCTGTGGTCAGCTATGTTGGTCGTTCGGGAGGTGGTAAACCACATCACGGTCGTCCTATTGTAGGTTGGAACAAGTATGTCCGTGACGCTCACAGGAATGCTAGGCAAAAGTATCTAACCTGGGTATGTTATAGTCGGCCTAATAGAGGAACCATTTATAATTAAATGTATGATTCGAGGAAATTTTTTAAAAGCAAGTTAAAGTATTGTCAAAATAATCACTACTCGCTACTAAACATAGGAATAAAGATTTTAGGGGACTCTGGCAACAAACAACAAAACTAAGTCTAAAGCCTAGCATACCTGTGAGTGTTAACGGCATCAGCGTACCACGGGACATAGCGAACATGTTCAGATGTCACTTTCAAGTGGAGTCTCCGCTAAAAAGTGCACAGGTTGTAAATGAAGAAGAAGTGAAGAAGTGGTGTCAGAGGTGCCGAACCACGTCACAGTTAGCAAGTTGCTCTAATAGTAAAAGAAATGACGCGAGGGAAGTCTCCTGTGCCCTGTTTATCAAAATTTACAAGCCTCGTATTACAGTCAATTTTCCTGTAAAAATTTAATTATTACAAATATGTATATACCAGAGCGGGACAGTATTTCATGCCGGCATACCGCCTGCAACTTTACAAGGCGCAGGTACGGCCGCACGTGGAATACTGGGCCGTCGCTGGAATACCATCTCTGGGCCGGGGCTCCCCAGTGTCAGCTCCTTCCACTTGACCGCATCCAGCGCAGAGCGGCTCGAATCGTCGACAACCGACGAATACGCAAAGAGATGTTTCATCTCTTTGCGTATTTTATCGCATCTATCACGGGGAGTGCTCTGAGGAATTGTTCGGATTAATTCCAGCCGCCAAATTTCATGAACGCACTACGCGGCGTAACATGGTGCAACAAAATACATACATAAGCATAACAGACATAAGCATGGTGTAACAAAAAACTATGTATGCAGTATGCGTGTCGACTGAATACGTAATTATGTCTCTCAAGCAGACTGTTGGATACTACACGGATAGGAACACGCCTGCGTGTGCAGCCTTTCTTGATCTCACTGAGGCATTTGACCTGGTTAGATATGATATTGTTGGCGTAAATTAAAGGACACAGGTATACCGGGTGTGTTGATAGATATATTCAAATATTGGTATGAACAAATAAACCAGGTAAAATTGCTTGGTGAACTTTCTGATGAGTATGGGTTGGAATGTGGAGTGAGACAGGGGGGGCTAACGTCTCCTTCTCTCTTCAACTTTTATGTGAATCGGTTGATTGTTGAGCTGAGCGACACAGAGGTCGGCTGCTCGATTGATGGTCATTGCATCACCAGGTGGCTCAGGACCGTGCTTTGTGGCATACCTTGGGGGAGGCCTATGTTCAGCAGTGGACTTGTGAAGGGCTGTAATGATGATGATGATGGTGACCACCATCATCACCAGTATCAGTTATGCAGATGAGATGGTGTTGCTCAGCCCATTAATTGGCGGTCTCAAAAAACTAATAGGTGTATGTGAGAATTACGCTTTGTCACACGGTCTCCAGTACAATGTTAAAAAAAGTGAGCTTTTGATCTTTAAAGCTAGGTATCGTAAGCTGGGAGATGTGCCACATGTACTGCTAAATGGCGCCGCTCTACGCAGAATGAAAGATTTTAAATATCTTGGCCATGTGGTTACCGAGAATTTAAGAGACTATGCTGATATCGAAAGATCGATGGTAATGGCGGTCCGCTGTAATATGTTGGCCCGCAGATTTGTGCGGTGTAGCGTTGAAGTAAAGATAAATCTAAATATAATAAAAATACCTCTTTAAAGCCTTTTGCCAAACTCTATATATTTGCCGCTACACGCAACTTGTCACTCTTGGTCAACTTCACGCAGCGGGCCATCAACGCTCTCCGAGTACAGTATAATAACACATTCAGGGTGCTGGTGGCGCTCCTGCGTTGCTGCCGTGCGTTTGCGATGTTTACGCTCGCGCACACGGACGGCTTCCACGACGTGCAGCGGCGCTGCATCACCTCGCTGATGTCCCGTACGCGGGGGAGCGCCAACACAATCCCGAACGTGCTCAGCGACAAGCCTGACTGCCCCCTTCTGCAGTACTGGGTACATACACAAATACATGTGCCCGGTGCCCCAGAGGGTGGCAGATACTTGCATAAGATTGTAAATTAATATTATTGAAGTAATTAATATTCAGTAGTTTTTATGTGAAACCATTGAATTAAGTTAAATTGAATTGAATTAAATTGAATAAGATTAAATTAAATTAGATAGGTAGATTAGATTGAATTGAATTGAGTTAAATGAAATTAAATTAGATGAGATTAAATTTATTATAATTTATGTCACTTATATTAACTTTGTCTGAAATAAAATGATTTTATTTTTATTTATTTTTGTTAAAGATTTGTTCATTTGCATAAATAAAAACAAAAGAAAAAACAAAACTTTGCAACATCAAATTTTTACTGCATTTATTTTTATGTGTTAGTTTAGTGCTGAGTATTGCTAGCATTGACCTTAATGTTCTCTGTGGGCAATTTGGAGTCCACATTCGGTATTTAGTACGTCAAGCAGGGCTTATATAAAAGTATTGCCATTAATTATTACAATTCTATTGTTGCAGATGATGTATTAACTGATAACTCACAATTATTAAAACCAAAGAAAAAGAGAGGGCGACGGAAAAAAAATGCTGAACCTGTTGAGGTAATTAAAATTCTTGTTATTGAAAAAGTTTGTGCATCTCGAGGTGCATCATACACGATGCAGATACATTGTATTCTTTAAGAACTAAGATGGAATGTTAACTAAAATTACTTATAACAAGGCATTCTATTTTATTTCTCCGGTTTTCTACGCTCACGATATAAAACACCGCAGCATTATTTGCTGTTTAATGCTGCAGCTGTTGACAGTCCTGCCCCAGTTAAGCTGACTCATTTGTGTAGTTAACTTAACAACAGCGTGTTTTTTCTATAAGAAAAATATGTACGTGTTGTTGACGTTCTAGAATGGTGTGTGGGAGAACATGACGTCAGCGCGCACGCAACAATGGCAGCGGCGCGTGCGCGCGCCGGCGCCGATATCCCCCTCCCCACCGTCGCCGCCCTCCCCGCCCTCCCCTCCGTCCCCGCGCTCCGAGGCGTCCCCGCCGCCGCCCGCCGCACCATCCACACCGCCGCGGCCCGTCGACCCCGCGCGCCCCTTCGTCTGCCGCCACTGTGGTGTCGGATTCGCACGGGAGAAGGCCCTGCAATCTCACGCCAGGGTAAGGCCCTTATTCATTACCATAAATAAAATCAAAATGAGCACTGTTCATCTTTATCATAAAATTTACATAACTGTTTCATTTGTTTAGTGGTCGTAGATGCGGGTGCTGATCGTTATGTCTCGGGTTTGAATCTCTAATCTTGCCAAAGTCTAGTTTCTGGGTTTTTCTGTCAAAAACTCAACAGTACAGTACACAGAAAATTTGCAGTGTTTAAGCCCTGCGCCTGATCACTTTAAGGTTGTGTTGAATATCGTTTTATTAAACTAAGAAAGTGCACCTATGCTTGCACGTACATTTGTGCATTATAATTCTGTTCCGCGCAAATGGCTAGTCCCTATTGAGATTGGCAATGAGAGAAATTCGGTCTGAGGGACATTAAAGTTTACATAAGATTGGAAATTTGCAAGTATAAACGGAATTATAGTAGCACGCCGGTCGAAAATGGTCATACGACTGACCACACTTCATTGGTAGTCAGCATTTGTAAGACCTACAAAAAATTATTTTGGGTTTGAATAAAATAGAATAGATTTTTATTCAATATAGAAGAAGATTAATAAGTAATACTTATTGAATGTTGTACGAGCAAGTACATGATATTTCAACAGTTTAGAAAATAATGCTGATATCGCGCCTGCGCGCGCGATACGTTCACTATAATTACATTTTTTATTCATAAGTATTTTCAGTACAATAAACGCTCTCTACGGAAACGGACACAGTTTTAATTACCACATCCCGTAACGTAGAAGATACAACCTACATTAATATACTACATATCAATTATATGTAGAGGGTCACAACTCACAAAATACCCCCTACATTTTGGTCCTTCGAGCTTTCGACGTGAACTAAGACTTGCATATTACGTCTACAATAGTTCAACAGTAAAGTGTATTTGAAAAAAAAAAAAAAAGAGTAATTCGTGATTCTATCTGTAGTGTCACTTTGGTTGCTGGCCTCCCACAAGCGGGTCTCACCAGCTTGATTGAGGTGCATACTACGGTAAGAGTCGCAGTCACACGTATCTGAAACCAACTATTTACAACATCGTTCTTAAACCATGGAGAACCTACTTCAACAGCAGAGAACAATCATTGAATCTATCCTTAAAATTGAGGCTAACTTCAAAAAGGATTCTGATTCACGTAAGTCAGGAACATACATACAGAAAAGGTTGGATGCTTTGAATGCTCAATGGGAGGTGTTCAACATGAATCATGGTGTTCTAAAAAAAACAGACAGTGACTTGGATGACGACTATTTCATCAATGATACCTACACCACCACAAAGAAGCGGTACGAAGCGATTCGTGACATGCTGACGAACTACGAGGTGAAAACTGCGGAAACTGGAGTACCATCAAGGTCTGATGAGTTCACCAGCCAACAACGCACTAATTTCCGGGCGCTCTCTAGGGTGATTAAAAACATCAACACCAAAGAGTTGACAGAAAAGTGGGAAATTTGTGACAAACTGAATTCGCTGCAGTCTCGCTGGAAACTGATCGACGAGCTCCACTGGCAAATCGATAACCTGACTTCTGGCGGTGATGTAGGCTACGAAGAAGAGTTTTCTGCATACGAAACCTTGTACGAAACTACAAAAAGGGATTTGAATCGTAAGCTTAACTCAGTATCTCAACAGCATCAGCAAGTGCCTACAATTGAGATTCCTTCTTTTTCTGGTAATTATACCCAGTGGCCTACATTCATGGACCTCTACTGTGAAGCCATCCACAACAATGTCATGTTGACAAAAACGCAAAAGATGCAGCACCTCAAGGGCAAACTTAAAGGCGAGGCGGAGCGCATCGTACAGCATCTTACAGTATCAGCTGATAATTACGACACCTGTTGGGAGATACTCACCCATAGGTACAACAACCGACAACTTTTGTTTACAAAACATATACAAACCCTTATGGGACAATCGGCGTTGCAAACACAGAATGCATACGAGCTGAAGAAGCTACATGACACAAGTGTCGAGACCATACATGCTATTCACAATCTGGGCATCGACACAACGACTTGGGATCCGATCCTGGTGCACATTCTCACTGGCAAATTGGACTCCGACACGTATGCAGCCTACATGGAGATCAGAAAGGCTCCGAGAGAGCTACCTTCCTTGGATGAGCTGATAAACTTCTTGGAAAACAAGTTTACTGCGCTTGAACCTGTTCAAAAGAAGAGACAGACACCTAACAAGTCAAACAATTCGACCAACAAGGAGGCAACAGCTCAATTTAAGAAGGACTTTAACAACACCAACAGGCGTAGTTTTCTTCGAGCATATCATACAAGCACAGACAAAAATTGCCCGCTGTGTAAAAACAATCATATTTTACTCTACTGCAAGTCGTTTCAAGACATGTCACCGGAAGACAAAATGAGGTCAATTTCGCAACTACATATTTGTCGCAATTGCCTGTACTTACACAACGACAATAAATGCAACTCCAACAAAAGATGCCGCGTGTGCAAAGAAGCACACCACACAACATTGCACGATATTTACCGCAAAGTTGAAATCGCGGTCTCAAATAACGTTATACCTAGCAACAAGCCACATACGTCACAGCAAAAGGCAAACCACGTGTCTGGAAATTATAACGAAGTCCTACTAGCGACCGTTCAATTAAAGGTGATGGCAGCTGATGGATCGACTGTTCAATTGCGATGCCTTCTCGACCAAGGATCACAGATAAATCTAATAACTGAAGATGCTGCGCAACGGCTGGGACTGCAAAGACAAAATCGAAACGCCACAGTCTCAGGCATAGGGACGTCAGCACATCATAGCAACGGAACCCGTACGGTTAGACTGTGAGTCTTTGTACGGAGGCCATTCATTTACAATCGAAGCCATGGTAATGGCCAACATGCTCAGCAACCTGCCTAATTACACCTTCGAAAAACAAGACTGGCCACATATTCAGAACATACAACTGGCGGATCCCGACTTCAACATCTCGAGACCAGTGGACGTTCTGTTAGACGCTGGAGTGTATGCTGACATAGTAATGAGTGGTATGCTACGAGGACCCTCACACGCACCCATGGCTCAACAGACAAAAGTGGGCTGGGTACTGCTGGGCAATATCAAAACCTTCAACTGCCACGTGCTCATTAATCTTGACGATGTATCTCGATTTTGGGAGATGGAGGAGATAACCGAAACCAATCACAATCTAACATCAGAGGAAGAATACTGTGAATCTATTTATTCAACCACAACAACAAGAAAAGAAAAGACTTCCAATGAAAATAAACTACGAACAAACCTTGGGCACTTCTAAGCCACAGGCAATCGCACTATTTCGGCAGTTAGAAAAACGATTGGCCAAACAGGAAACATTTTCTACGTCATACAAGATGTTTATTGACGAATATCTACAACTCGGCCACATGAAGCCATGCACTGAACACCATAAGCCAAGCTACTTCTTACCTCATCACGGCGTACAAAAGCTGGACTCAACAACTACAAAATTGCGCGTAGTCTTTAATGCCTCTGCCAAGACAAGTACAGGACAAAGCTTGAACGATCTCATGGAGTGCGGGCCTAACCTCCAACAAGACCTACAATCTATGATTCTACGTTGGCGAGCCTTTCAATACGTCTACACTGCAGACATTGAGAAGTTTTACCGTCAAGTACTGATACACGATGAAGATCAACACCTGCAAAAAATTGTATGGCGTGACTCTGCTACAGATCTCATCAAAGAATACCAACTGTGCACTGTAACATATGGTACCAAAGCTGCACCATTTTTGGCAATGCGCACCATAATACAACTCGTAATGGACGATGGACACCGCTATCCTCTCGCGGCAGAGATCCTTACTCACCAGCTGTATGTGGATGACCTACTTGGTGGCAGCAACGACATGTTAGAAGCACAAGACGCTCAAAACCAATTGATTGACCTGTTAAAAGGCGGTGGGTTCAATCTTCGCAAATGGGCTAGTAACCACCCCAGATTGCTTCAAACTTTACCTGAACATCTCATAAGCCAGAATATGTTTGACTTCAAGGACGCAGAGAGTAACAAAACACTCGGCTTAACCTGGAATCCGCACACTGATCAGTTTACATTCAAGGCGCCACTTAGTAACACACGTGACGTCACAACGAAGCGGACATTGCTCTCTGATCTATCAAAATTATATGACCCACTTGGTTGGCTGTCTCCGGTAACAATGAAGGCAAAACTCATATTTCAACAAGCTTGGCTTGCTTCAACAAATTGGGATGAACCTCTTCCGGAAGACATACAACAAGAGTGGACAACCTTTCAACAAGAATTGCCCACTATCAATACCATCGCTTTACAACGCTGGATTGGTAACACTAAACAACCCATCGAGTTACACGGATTCAGTGACGCCTCCGAGAAAGCCTACGGCTGCGTTATCTACTGTAAATCTATTAGTGAAGAAGGGCAACAAATTATCACGCTGGTGGCGGGAAAAACTAAGCTCGCACCATTAAGAAAACCCCCGTCTTTACCACGGCTTGAACTATGCGGTGCCCTACTACTGTCTCGACTTATGAAAAAGGTCATAGAGTCAATAAACTCACAGATTGTAACAATACATGGTTGGACAGATTCTATGATCGTGATGGGTTGGTTACAAGGGGGGCCTTCAAGATGGACTACATTTGTGGCTAATCGCGTAACACAGATCACTGTCATCATGCCATCGGGATGCTGGAGGCACGTCAAGTCTGAATATAACCCAGCAGATTGTGCCAGCAGAGGCCTAACTCCACTACAACTGGCGAATCATCATTTATGGTGGGGACCTATTTGGCTAAAAGACAACGATCTCCCACTTCAAGACCAATTCCACACAACTGTTGAAGAGAAAAAGGTCAAACAAGTTTGCGTGTCACAAAGGTCGATGCCATTAATCGGAGAACTTTTAAACAAACACAGCTGTATGGCACGCGTAACTCGAATCCTAAGTTGGATACTTCGGTT